TCAATAAGCAATTAATTATTAATTTTATTAACACATTTTTGAAATAAAAAATGTGTTAATAAAATTCGGTCAACTGCAGGTGCATATTTGACTACTGAACCACAATCAACCCCTTGATCATTTTACCCGTTTTAAATATTTCGTCGACAACCAAAGAGTCATGCCGACCAAGTAAGAAGCCCCTGAGTTGGAGACTGAAAATTGAAACTAAGCTGTCGAGTTTGTAATCACGGCATCAACACTGATACACGGCATCATACCCTGATACACGATGATGAAACCAAAGAGTCAGTCAAATGGTTTATTCAGAGGTAATCGTTGTCTTCTGTTTCGGATAGCCTGTCAATATATAACTCGGCTCTACATTAGACACTTAGAGGTCAAATTATAAACATAAACAATAATGCCTACAGAACGTTCGCATACTGTTACATTTCGAATTGCAGGGAACATTTATTAAGGAGGATATCTGTAAGAAATTAAAATTGTCAATTACTGTAGTGGAAGAAATAAAAGTAATCTCTTTCGGATATACTGCGCTTGATACACACACACACACACACACACACACAAAAAAAAAAAAAAAAAAAAAAAAATTGCAAAGAACCAGTCCTTATCTGCATAACTGAAGCAATTGAAATGAAATGAAAATAGAAACATTCGTATTAATGTATCATACATTCATTTCCCTGAAAATGAAATAGCTGTGTTAAAATAAAGGACTACAGCTTTCCGATGAATGGGACAAGAATGTATAACATTCAAAATTTCTTTGCAGAGTAGATTTTTATTGCAAAATAATTACAAGCAATGTTCACAGATTGTCTGATTCTTTAGTAGCTTTCGAATTGGACTGTTACTGGAACAGAAAATCCTTATGCAATTTTATCAGCTGGTGTTGAATGCTAAGAAAGTCGAAGTTCATAATAATGGAGCTACACAGATCGAATCAACACCTAAGGATGTCCAGGAACTCGAACCTGCGATTCTGATAAGGAACCCAGATTAGAAGATAATTTAATTTTCGAGAACTTTAAAAGATCTGTGAAATTTAAAAATAAAATTTGCATTGGTCCCTTCCATAGAATCATAATTCAAATGAACTTTCAAACGAACGCATATGAACGAAGATAATTTTGTGATTACTAAAATTAAATTTAAGAATTTAAATCGTACATCTCAGAATAATCAACAATTTTATGACAGGTATTATGAAGTAATTAATAAATAATCAATCGAAGGAATGTATTTCATGCCGTTGTTCAAGCCGTTATAAGAGAAAATAAAGAAATTAAAAATCTCAGTTAGTTTTCTACGTTTCGTTGCATGCTGCGAATTGTTTGTCATTAAATGACTGTTTACATTCAGGTCCAAAGATGTGTCTGAATATATTGGAACTGCTCTTTAAGTTACGTCTATAGCTGATATCGAGCAAGAATTCTTTCAAAATTCTCTAGCGGATGAGAACAGAATCACAGTCTAAATTTCCGTGAACTGATAGTAAACCAAATGAAACCAAAATAAAGGCTCCTCGCATGACAAGAGTAATTTTTGGAAAAGCATCTAGTTCGTTTCTTTTCAGAACAATTCCTTGTTTGCACACTGGAAAATACAAGTCAGAGAACCTGAATGTGTTTTCTATGTTAACTGAAACCATGCGTGTTAGCGACTTAATCGCTTGAGAAGATGAAAAGTAAGAAAATATTAACCATATACTGAAAGAAGATGGATTGAACATGCGAAAGTGAAAAACAAATGAAGTGAATTTACAAAAACTAGCGGATAAAAAAGATTCTGCACAAGATTCACTAATTCCAAAGTTCTAGGGCTGACATGGAATAGGAAAAATGATAAAATTCTGATAGAAAATGAAGATTTGGTAAGAAATGCCAAAAGCGTAGATAACATACTAGCTAAAAGATAAGTTTTCAGACCAAGAGGACGTCTGTGTGATCCATTGGGAATTGTGTGTCCATATACTATCCGAGCTGGGATTTTATTGCAAGATTTAAGGGAACAAATTTTTCGTAAATACACAATTAGTTCGTAAATACACAAATTTTTCGTAATACACAATTAGCAACACTAGAAAAACTCATAAAAATTGGCGAAGCTGGTGTGATAAATTATGTTATATTTTTAGTTAGTAAATATCAAGACATAAGTTTGCAGGTGCTTGGAAAATGTATATGAAGGGTATGTTACAATTACACTGTTTCCCAGATGCGAATCAAAATGCGTACGGAGCTGTTCTGTATTTCCGTTATTGAAAAAATGTAGTCATCTAAACAAGCTTCATTACATCGAAATCAAGAGTAGCACTTCTAAAGATATTATCACTGCCCTGATTGGAATTTATGATTGCTTTAATCGGCTCTTGCTTTTCAAATCATATTCCAGAAAAATTTCAGGACATTGAACTAATTGTGTATTTACGAAATTATTACACTGGCAGAGTTGCCAACTCTCCCGATTTAGGCGGGAGACTCCCGAGTTTCGACCGCTCTCCCACCAACCCGATTTACAATATATTTCTCCCGACTTTTTCTTATTCTTAATATTTCTCACGATTTTTATGGAACTTGGCTTAATACTTCGTTATATGAACAAAAAAAAAAAAAAAAAAAAAAAAAAAAGTGATTTTGGACGTCTGAAAGCAACTGAATTTTCCGATTATATCTAAAATGAAACCTTGCGAATCAGATGAGAATTTCTGCTTTGTGATTGACAGCATACGTATCCAGAAACATCGTTCTCCAGTTGTCCAATGGGCATCGAGCTCCACTGTGTGTCATCTGGCATATATTAGCCAATGAGCACAAAGCAAGCTCAAGGCCGTTGGCCGTTCTTTGGATGTTCTTTCGCTATTTCGTTCATCTTGTCCTGAGTTGTGTGAGTACACGTGCCTTTAGGAAATAGTCTTAGAAATTATCGTCTTTTGATATGTCTGCGAGAAAGGTGAAATACTCGTGCACGTTTCAAAAATCGTACACAGTTGACTTTCCTTCCATTATTTCTTCAAGGAAATGTAATAAATTTGCGAGGTGTACCATCTGTCGTTGCGATTTTTCGATTTCGCTTGGTGGAAGGGCAGATGTTTCTCAAACATGTGCGTACACAAAAACACAAGGACAACATGAGTTGTTTTGAAAAAACGAAAAATTAAATTTTTCTTTGGAAACAAAAGACCAAAAAGTGATTAATGCAGAATGTCTGTTCTCTGCCTTTTTACTGGAGCACAACCTGCCACTGAATGCATCGGATCACGCTGCAGCTTTATTTAGAAAAATGTTTCCCGATAGTGAAATTGCTAAGAAATACTCAAGTGCAAGAACCAAAACAGGTGCAATTGTTAAAGAAATGGGTTTGAAAAATAAATCTTCAGTTATTGATTACATTAAAACAGCTCCGTTCTGCCTCTCTACGGATGGAAGCAATAATACCAATTCAAAACTGTATCCAATTGTTGTTTCTTTTTTTAATCCAGAGTCTTCAGAAATTGAGTGCAGTTTACTTTCTGTCCCCACTGTAGAAGGACATTTGACAGGCTTTAATATAGCACAGCTAATTATTAAAGCTTTAAAATAAAATGCAGTCCCTCTGGATAATTGCTTAGCGCTTGGTGCCGATAATGCACCAGTAATGGTAGGCTTGAAGACTGGTGTTGCAGGCATCTTAAGAAAGGCAAATTCAGATTTGCAGATTATGAGGTACACCTGTCACCTCTTAAATTTAGCAGCTGAAAAAGGGGCAGCTTCTTTACCATTAAACGTGGATATGAACACATTGTTGATATTTATTATTATCTTGAAAGGAGTTCTAAAAGAAAGGAAAAATTGAAACAGTTCCAACAGCTGCATAATACTGAAATGAGAAAAATTTTGATTTTTTGTAATTTCTGCATCATTCATCAATTCAACTGGCAGTTCTCAAAATAATACTGCAAAATATAAGCATAAAGCTGATACAAATTTCTCTCAAAATAAAAAGAAAAATTGCTCAACACACGAAACATTTTCCGATTACTGTAAGTTTATCTTGTGAAGAACGAATATTTATGTTTTTTTCTTCGGACCTTAACAAAGCTTTTTGCTTTTTTTTTACAATTCATTTTGCCATCATTCGAATCCAGTGACTGGATTCGAAGTTATGTGAAAAAACGGAAACCTTTCATGTGCAAAACAGAAGCAAGGACTTACAAAACAATTCAGACGTGTTGAAATGGATATATCTTTCTGGTGTAGATAATATAGTTGACTTACTAATTAGAAGTGAAAATGTCATAAATATGAAACAGAATAGCATAAGGGGGAAAGGACCAACTAGGTTAAAAAAGGAAATGGAAGATTGGCGAAGGTGAAATGTATGAAACGTGAAGAACATTGAAGATTCCGACAAGTAATTCAGATAAGCATGGAAAGAAGTGTCTGTAAATTAACAAAATCTTCTGAAGATTTATTTAAAGTTCAAAATTACAGTGATTTACAGATAATTTATTGAATTATTTCATGGTGCTTAAGGTTCATTAACGATGTTAGAAATGCTTCGAATTTATCCGGATGCTTAAAGATTATCGAAATTGCGATAGCGAAACTTATTGGATCAAACGCGCAGTCGGGAGGCGAAATTTCTCAGATGACGCGTGCATAAAAGAACAAGACATCAGAGTGGCATTAGAAGGTCCTTGTTCATACTGTTGAAGGTGTAAAATCATGTATTTGAAGGCTTATGCATGAGTGCTTTAGCTATGCTTAGTAAAGTTTTTTCAAACCATTAGCGTAATTGCAGTTCTTTTTTCTCTCTTCTAAATACGTGTAGAACGTACACTATAAGCAAGCCCATTTTCTTTTAGCCTCAAAGAAGTACTGAATTTTCTACTAGATATAATTTTCGAAAATAAAATGTGACATTAAAATCAGTATTGTACTTTAAGGTATTGAAGTTAAGTTATTGAAGTTTAAGGTATTGAAGTTAAGTTATAACGATGCAAGTATTCTTACCTTTTAGGTTCACTGTATGGGCTAAGGACGCAGTAATTTCCGTACATAAGTTTACTTTCAGCACATTCTTCAGTAAAGGCTTCATTCGAAGTGGATATTTCAGAAAGAGCAGAAGTGATTTTGTAAGTATCAGCAGAGATGATTGCGGAGGAGAAAGTGGTTCCGTTGTTTATGACGGAAATGTAAAATAAAGAAGACGAAATGATTATGAAAGTAATCAGCAACAAGTTGCGTCTCTTATGCATTAAAATATCTGTCACTTCTCAGCTCTGAATTTCAGTGTTCATACACGAAATAGATTTGGTCTCTGCAATAAATTAGAAAGTTAATATTAATTAATAACTTAGCACCATTAACATACAATGTATAACATAATCAAATAAATACAGGCTTAAATATTTCCATGGTAGTTTATTGTATCTACAAGTTTTCGTTGTTTTACGAAAGAAGAAATGAAATCTTCCTTAAGCATAAATGGTGTAGAGCGTAGAAACAATTAACCTTAATTTGATATAAATTTTATAACGCCCTTATGATCTTTTCCCCAAATCTAATAAATATAGCTTAGTACCGTTTCAATTCGTTTCAAACTCAGCCTTGAATGTTTTGTTCCCGTTTGAAAGAAGTATTCTTTTAAGTCTACGCAAATTCTACTAGAAATTATCCCACGATATAATTTATAATGCAATTCGCATTTTAACTCTTCATTTTCTGGATGAAAGAAGCTAGAATCAGTGCTCTGAGATTATAAGAGCAGTTTCATTATAACTGGTCGATTTATGAACCCACTACTTCGTTTTCCTTGATATGTTTCAGTCTAAATGTCATGTCATCAGAAGTTAGTGGTTTTAGATCCTGTTCGATTTCAGCATAATTTATCATTTTTGAAGATGATTTAAAAACAACAACAACAAATACCACTAAATTTAGTACTTAAAAATGATCAAATGGGAGAATTAGGGAAAAAAAGTACTTAATCGCAACATACCTTTAATATAAAAAATGCATAAAATCTAAATTAACCGCAGAAATAAGAGAAATAGGATGAAAGCATAACCCAAATGTAGAATTGATGCATGTAGTATAGTTTCGCCTTCCACAGTTGAGAATACAGGGAACAAATCTGAACGTTTGAATGAACATCGCTGCCCGAAGATACATAAGACGGAAATTTAGCATCAGTTATATATTCAGTAGCGGAAGATGCTGGTGTGTATGCGACAGAATAGATCATCATTGTTCATTACATCTGAAGTTTTTTTTATTTGTTTTATAAAGTATTTTCTGCATGCTTTCGCAGTGTAAATGGAAGTACACTCGACGCATTTTCGACAGATCCGGGGTTAGAGAAGCAATGCACATTTTTTACCTCTTATGCTTCAAAAAGAGACTTATGATTCTAGAAGTGGCGCCCGAACTGAAGGTGATGATTGTTGAATTCGTCACCACCGGGATTTGGCAATTCGGTACTTTAATACCCAGTCATCCTTTAAAAGGAAGAGTATATTTTCTCCTTCCTTTCTGCATGCATTCGCGGTGTAGTTGAAAGCACATTCGTCGCGTATTAGAGAGGTGCTGGGTTCGAGTATCGGCGAGGGCACTTAACATTTTTCACTTCTCCTGCTTCAAAATGACCTAATGATTATACAGTCGTATATTAAAAGTCTAGGCTTATCATGTCTAGGCTTTGATCGATATTAAATACTATAAAATACCATATTATATTTGAGTGTAGTTTCAATTGTACAGTCATTCGTAAGAAATTAATACATCTTGAGAAAATACTCAAGTTCCAATTTTCTTTCACAATTAAAGCCATACTGTTTAAAAATCAAACAAAGCATAAATGTAGACTTTAAATGGTATCTTAAATTTTCTTTTTTTTCTTTGCTTATTTTTTCGTAAACTACAAAATATTTTCCTAAATTCTTTTTCAAACAGGAAAGAGTGATAATTTAGGTTACTCGTAAAACCGAAGTATCATAAAGCAAGGAACCTACGCAATTCGACAGCCCTGTACTCCTCAAACTGAGCAGTTGCTGTTACCATATTCTTAGAAGACATATATTCTACATATATTCATATAAACATATATTCATATAAAAGTGTTGCTGAACATATTAGTACAAAAGTACTAATATGTTCAGCAACACTTTTGTGATACATAAGTGAAAAAAATAAATGAGTATTTAATTCCATCACAGATTCAATGCCAAAGTATACGTATGATTTTACTGGCTTTATTTTTTACTTTTAATAAATTAAAATTTCCGTGAAATTAAGAATTTCATACGTGTAAAACAATTTTTTGGAAATTCAAATAAACTGGCTCCTTGTTTCATAATGAGTTTCACATTAAGAAAACTTTTTTTCTTTAATTCAAATAAACTGGCTCCTTGTTTCATAATCAGTTTCACATTAAGAAGTGTAGTACAGTAGAATTTCAATAATGCGAACTAACTGCAGATCGTATTTGTCTCTAGATAACGAGTAGTGCGAACTAAATAACGTAAAATATATGGAGAAATTATTAAAAATCCTGAAAACTTCAGAAAATGTCGCAGAATTTAAAAATCTGCGCTGTTGTAATATTTCGAAAAATTTGTTTTTTCTTGTATGCTCAAAACGATCAAGTTAAGCCATTAATTAAAAAAGTAAGTTCTTCAAAAATTGAAATTGTTTAAGGAAAAATTATTTTGAAGACTATTTCTCTGGTTCTTTGTTTGCTAAACTACATTGAAGAAACTATCTTATTTCGCATAAATTCATGTTCATCACTACTTTATAAAAGAAGATGATGCCTCAGATGTTCCGTAATGGGCGCAAATATTCTCGTTTTTGCTTTAAGTAGCAATATCAGTGTCAAAATTTAAATAATACTTTATTTCACTTGATTTTTTTCTTCATGTCATTTGAATTAACCCCGAACTCAGCTTAAGCTCTATTAAACTTTTAGCTCTCTTATTAGCACTAAAATCAATCACATCAAATCATTCTAAATCGAATATTTTGAGTCTCCACCACATAGAGAAATTATTGTGGAATATTAATCTTTTGCATTTAGACATAACACGCAGAATAGGAAGTCCAGTACTGCTACTGTTCTGTCTAAATTTCGGTTTCTTTGATACCACGGATATTTTCAATCCCTACTAACCATAATTCAATGTCTTTCAGTGAAATTACGAGCTCTGATCCCCGAAATAAAGAATGATTTTGTAAAAGAACTCATTCTTCATGCGTTTAGAACTTCCATACCACTTGATTCATTAAAATTTTCTGTGATCTTAAATAAATATGGCTAAAGCGTATGAATTATAAGGTTTTGAACGCAGATTATTTTAATACATTTTTAAAGTTGCATATTCTTTAACTTAAAGGCAGTGATTTCAAAATTTCTGTTGTAGAAAGGCTTAAATACTCAATTTTATCTTAAATGAACTCAAGTTTCTACAGCACATACAGATAATATATTTAAGGTACTGTAAATAAAGCCTAATTAGACATTTCTCCGTATATCGCATGTATAAAAGTTTAAATTTGATATATTTTTAATGAAAGTTGTAGGGTTGAGATTTATTTTAACTAACATTTATTTTAAGTTTAAACTATCTTTCCTGTCAAGCCTTACATTCCCCTGGAACTGCCAATGCCAGAATATGTAAATTTGAGTAGATCGCGCAAGAATTCAAATTATCAGCGGAAGTATTATGATTTAAATAGGAAGGAAACAAGTTTGGTGGGTGATATTCTTACTTCACGAGCGCGGAGGTAGTTAGCGAGAATTGAAGAACCCCGCGTTTCGGCCTATGTGCTTGGCGGGAAGTAGTGTTAAATCGTTCAAGTGAGCTTCAAGTCTGCTGAATTAGCAGCGGTATTGTAAAACGCGGTGAGTTAGTTATTTTATTTTAGAGAGCCTCGTAGTTAGAGTCTTGTCTTTAGTTTCTTTTCAGGTTTTTATTATTTTTATTTGACCGCCAAGTTGGCGCAGTCTGTGAAGCGTCAAGAGCACGCAATTGTAATTTATTACGTTGAATAAAAAGGGACTTAAACCCTTCACAAGATTCTGTAATTTATCCAGTTGTCACAGTCACCTCTTGGTTGCGTGCAAGTTGGAGGCGCGCAACGTTACATTGGCGCCCGAACACTTATCGAACTGAAATGGCCGAAAACTGGATGGAAGCCGCTGGACAACACCAAGAAATGACAAGCCAGTTAGAAGGATTTGGATACCTGGTCCAGACTTTGAGAGCGTCAATCAAGCCAAACGTCCATTTCGACGGAAAAAATTCGGTGGCGGTATTTCTAGAAGGTCTAGAAAACCACTTTCAGCTCTACCCTGTGCCTGAAAGACAAAAAGTTGCCATCGCCACATCAGCACTAAGAGGACAGGCCGCGCTATGGTGGAAAAACATAGGCAAATTTTTATTAGGGGAATTGGAAGCCAGACATATATTTTGAAAATTTCAAAAAATCGTTAGTAAAGGCCTTCCCCATAGTGAAAGATCGCGCACGGCTGGAAGCCGAACTATATAGTTTCTATCAACGGGATACAGCAGAATTGACGGACTTTATTCTACGAAAAATCAAGCTAACGGATATGCTGTATGGGAAAGAAACCCGATGCGGAGATTATTGAAATAATATTACCAAGATTGTTACCCGCTGTTCAAGACTACTTTGAAATTAGAAACCCAAGCACATTGCAGGAACTTTTCGAATTGGCGGTGAAGTTTCAAAATCGCAGAATAGCGGAAAAAGCGAGAGGGGAAACATATTCTCAAAGTACCCGAAGGAAATCTTCAAAGGAGGAAACCAGAAATGGAAATCGCTCTTATGGGGGGAAAGCTATCAAGCTAACGCATCGAAACTCGAAGGTCAAGGCCCAAAAAGAAAATTTGAAAATAAGCATCCGCGTACCCAGAAGACACAGATTGAAAGGAAAGCTTTAAACGAGTAGAGGGGCCTGTGAAAGGGAGGGTCCAGACCCCGGAAGTTTTAAAAAAACCCTCAAATAGACATTTAAATACGGTCATCGTAAAAAAACTCACAGCTACCAATTATACAAGTCCTGGTTGGCGATGTACCAGTAGAAGCCCTCATCGATACAGGAGCAGAAGGAAATTTTATGAGTGAAAATTTCTTCAAAAAGAATTTTTATAGGGTACGACTATTTAAAACCAAAAATACGGAAATTATAGCGGCGCAAGGAAAAACATGTCACTGCATCGGGAAATTATCATTAAACTTACAGGTAAAAGAGGAAAGTCTCAAAGTATTAATTTTTGTGGTGAAGGATCTGCAACA